GCCAGCCTGCCCAAACGCATCCACATACTTTTCCGCCACCGACAAACTGACTCGCCCCCTGCTCCGCATCCTTCCCTTCCGAAATTGGACCTCGCCACGGCCTCAATCCCCGCGGCTGGTGGCCCTCGCCCTCAACAAAATCGCCCTCCGCCTCACCCGCCGCCCCATTGATTTTCTCCGGCCCTTACAGCCTCACTCGCCAAAATAGCACTCTGCTTCTGCCCCTCGGCAATATTGATGGCGCTCTGGCGCTGGCCCTCCGAGTCCAGGATCTCGGCGCGCTTGGACCGCTCCGCCGTCACCTGGCGGTGCATGGCGTCGACGACGGGCTTGGGCGCGTGGATGTCACGGATCTCGTAGCGCAGGCAGGTGACCCCCCACGCTTGCGCGGCCTCGTTGATGGCTTGCGTGATGTTAGTGTTGAGGGCGGCGCGCTCCTTGAGCACGTGGTCGAGGGTGAGCTGGCCGATTTCGGAGCGCATGGTGGTTTGGGCGAGCTGCGAGATGGCGTATTCGGCGTCTTCGACGCCGTAGCTGGGTGGGGGGGGTGGGGGGTTAGTGTTTGGGTGGGAATGGACGGTGGGAATCACGAAGGGCGGGGGTGCTCACCTGGCCTTGTACGCGTCAAAGACCCGGGTGTAGAGCACGCCGTCGAGCTCGAGGGTGACGTTGTCGGCGGTGATGGCGCTCTGCGAGGGGATCTCGATGGCGACCTCCTTGAGCGACTTGACGTAGGCGATGCGGTCGAGGAAGGGGATCAGAATGGCGAGGCCCGGCTGTAGGATGCGGTTGAACTTGCCCATGCGCTCGACGATCCACGCCGTCTGTTGCGGCACGAACCGGACCACCGTGTTCATGGGCAGCGACGCCGGCTTCTGGAAGTAGGTCGGCGGTATGAGACCCCCGCCCATGCCGCTGGGGAGGGCATTACGTTGTGTGGTGTTGAATGCTCTTCTTGATGCGGCGATGTTGGATAATGCGAGGGCGGCGAATGGGAGAGTTCGGGAGCTGCGGGTCGAGGTTGACAAGCTCGCCCGTACGGTAGGGACGAGCGCCCTCTGTGCTGTTGTGAGCGACATGGTCGGCGACAACCTCACATCTGCTGTTGGCTTTGCTGGGTTGTGGGATTGTTCTTGTGGTTTGGCGCCGATTTGTGAAAGTGGCAGGCGGCAGGGTCGACGTCAGTGCTTGCTGATGTGGGCCGGGCCCACTTGCAACTGTGAGAGCTCGGTCCGCAGCATAGGGTATTGTTACGTTACGGAGGCAATGCTTGTACTGTACGTACATACATACGGTACTGCTGTACCCCAACCACATCGCATAAATCGAGTGCTCTCTGCCAAACGGCTCTTTTTTTGTATTTTCCGTATTCCCGCAATCCGGAGACCAATAAGTATAAGCCGCATCATCTCCACCACTATAAGCAATCAGGACCGTGCATCCCCTCGAGCTGACACAGTTCAGATGTTCATTCCGATGATCTCGGACCACTGGCTCGGCGTCTCTTCTTGGGCAGCAGCGCTTTTCGCAGCTGCATCCGCGACAGTGTTCCACTCGCGCGGGATCCTCCAGAACTGGATGGCCATGCCGTCGTCCGAAAACCGCTCGACCTCTCCCAGCAGCGCCTCCCACAAGTCCTTGTTCTTGACGTCGCGCCCGGCACTGGTCTTCCAACCGTTTCTGATCCACGTCCTGACCCACTTGGTAGCGCCTTCGACCACATATTCGGAATCGGTAGCGGCGACAAAGGTGTCGAACCCTTCGCCAGGCCAGTGCCGGAAGCGCAGCGCAGCGATCACTGCACGGAGCTCGGCGCGATTGCTGGTCTGAGCGGCGGCGGCGCCAAAAGGACCCCTGGCCTCGAGGCTGGCGCTGACAACGAGTTGAGTGCCCTCGTCGTTAACGCCATGCCAGAAAGCCCAGCCGGCCTTGGGATTGGCCTGGCCATTCTCGAGGCAAGCACCGTCTGTACGGATTAGAACAGTGCTGGCGTCGTCTCGATGGGTGTATCTGACAAGAATAAAACGAGTAAGTACGCTATTGCCTGGGAGAGTGGGGGAGCAAGGACGGACCTGATGACACGCATATGTTGCCTGCGACCAGAGAACAACTCGGCGGGCGTGTCCGTGGTCGAAGGCGGGATGAACTTTGAGGGCCAAGATCGGCCGGTGCCCTTTAGCAGTGGAGGGCCCAAATGGTGCTGAGTAAAGTCAGGCTCTATCCCATCCCCGCCGCTGTCCTCATCGGACTCCTCCTCTTCTTCGCCATCGTCGTTGCCCTGGTTGCTCAGAATATCGTCCATGAAGCTGTAGTCGACGCAGCACTTGCCACAAACCACGAACCCGTGCGGACCGCAAACCAGGCGGCCGTCGGGAAGTTCACACGGACCCTCCTCATCGTCGCTGCTGCTGTAGCCAAGAGGGATGAGACCCTGCGCGAGATAGTATCCTCGAGGCATGATTTTGGTGATCTGGTCTTTGCTGTTGAGTCCTGTATTGGTGAGAACCGATTGCAAGTCGGAGCACCCCGCTGGGCCTAGAAACAGCCAGGGTGAGTGGGTTGTGGTTGCTGGAAAGACGTCGGTACCCAGCGAGGAAGGTACCTAGTGTTATTGTGCGGGGCAGTGCCCCACCACTCAACTGATAAGATTGTAGATAAGATAGGCTCCTTGTGAAAACGACATTCAGATGGAAAGATCGGGAGAAAGAATTGATTGGTCTTCTTCCACCGCTTTTCAGAGTTCTTTAGAGCATGTAGCTTTATCCTAAATCTTTCCTTTGTCTTCTTGAGTTAACCCGAGTCTTTGTGCTGCCAAAATTCCATGAAACTGTTTCCGGGTGTCATGGCCGTTTCCGGTGCCAAGGCTGTTCAACAGCTGGTATCCGCCAGAATGTGCTATGTGGCTAATCCAACAGGGTTCTCAACAACCAAGCCAAATTGGAAGTTCTCCAAGGATGCGGTGGAATAAGTGATGTTGAATTCAAGCCTAGTCTACTCGACTTTCAAGAGACGCGTCAAGGCCGTTCTTGTAATATGTGGAAAACTGCCTAGTTAGATATGTATCATTTTTACGACGCACTGCCCAGAGCACCACTTTCTCCTCCGTCATCTTCGACAACCTCTCCAGTCGCAAGGAGCTGTTTCCCCTTTAGGACCTGTGGCAAAGAGACCGTCGGTGGGCGCTCCCACGTCAGATACTTCTTCACATAAGCAGACATCATGGCCCGCGTATTTCCTAGTCGAAATGATGGATCCAATCGCATGGTGTCATCAACAGGCAGCGGTAGCCAGTCGAGAGGATTCGACGCTTTGCTGAAGTGATCAATCTCGCTTTCATCCCTTCTTTTGACCCAATCATCGAGGACCCGCCTGTATGCCTCCATAGGGCTGTCGAGTTTCGCATCCTCATGCGGCACCCACTCCTCCTTGAGCGTGACTTGGGACATGTCAAGTTCGTGGGATTGGAAGTTCGGGCGGGAACAAAACTCTCGGGTGATAAGCTCTTGCACTGTTAGCTTGATGAACTTCACATCGTTGCGGTCTTCTTTGTATCCGAACGCATAACGATTGTGCCGGTCGCCTTCCCAGCCCAATTTTGCTGCACGGTTAAAGTTGAAGAGCTGGACGCTGTCTGTGGAGGCATCGATGGCGAGGTTCCCGGCACAGATGTCACCGTGGACGATGCCGAGGTGATGGTTTAGATGATCCACGGCCTAATTATGTGAGTAAATTAGAATCCTAACCTGAGGGCCAGAGGCCGGTGGGTAAGGGGACAGGACCGACACTGATGAGCTGTTCGAGGTATTTGAGCTTGAAGACGTAGTCTTTGTTCTCCCACAGCGTCCCGCTGGTGACGTAACGTGTAGTAAAGCCGACTACCCTGTCGACGGTGTTGATTGAAGCCACGACGAGGGCATCGAACGGGACAATATTGGCGTGTGGCGGTATACTTGAGACGCAATTTGTCTCGTGCCACGCAGTGGCGACGTCGGTTCCATCCAAGTGGTATTTGAACATGGCCATTTTCATCCTGCCCGATGGCGGTAAGTAAGTGACCAGATCGAGTTGGTTCCCAAGCCGACGACGTTCGGTGAGCTCTTCGCGACGAACCGTTGGCAGGTGCTTAGGGAAGGCGGTGCGTTCCCGGTACAACGGAGCCCAGGAATAGACGTCGTCGTAATCCTGCGCCGGGTGATTTGCTGACTTGAACGAGCCATCATTCTCGATCTAAACCTCCAAAACACCGGGTGGAAGGGTGTCGATGAATTTCTCAACAGCCTCAAAGACAAAGGTTTTATCGACTTGGCCGGTGGATGAAACATGGACGTTAACACCGCGTCTCTGGTCCAAGTCATTGATAATCCATTCTTCGCCAGACGAGTTTGAGTGAGTGGACGTCCCCGAGCAAGTAAAGCGTCCGTGAGGACCGCAGCGGGAGAAGTAGTTCGGAAGGGCAGCCTCGAGGTCGGAAGACTCGGGGGTTTGATGCGGTGACTCTAACAGGTTGCTTTGCGCAACGCCCGTCGCCATGGTGGTGGATGATCTAGAGTAGAAAATCAGAATAGTGTTGACCTGTATTATAACCGATGGCAATCTTTGGGCTAAGTAGGGTGGTAAAGCAAGACGTGAACCTGACTGTATTTAATTGAACGCGAGTTATAAACCGAAGATTTCCAGATTTCAGAAACCCCTTCAACACGAGAGCCCGTCGGCCGTCTTTAAGGCGTAGCTTCGTTACTGCTAGGCTAGACAGGCGTGTACCACTTGATTGTTCCTTCTATGCTGCCTTTATACGTAGAAAGGCAGGCACATATCGACCAACGTGCTGTCTGACGTGGCCAATGTGTGGGAGGTTGACCTTCCCTCTTTTTTCGATCCATAGGCAGAGGGACTGACAGACTTTGTGTGAGGGTTATTGATCCGTTTAACGTTGAGTGAAAGACACAAATCCGTGCCTCGTTTACGCTAACAAGATGCATCACCATGGTGAAATCCAGGGGGTTAGTTATGAACCGACATCTAAGAGTGCCGACATTAGATTACATGTACAGATAGATACTGAACAATATCCCGTCGCCCTGATAAACCCCTCCAGTCCCCCAACCCATGCCCATCATCGATCCCCAAAGGAGGGCAAAACAACCCAAGGCAACGCCTTCCCATCATGGATTGAATCCGCCCCAACAAACCCACACTCCTCAATAGCAATCCCCCTCCTCCCTTCCCCTCATCTCCCTACCTTCGCTCCCCCACCCCCCTTACCCTCATCTTCACCTCCCCACACGGCCCCGCCGTAAACCTCGAATCCTGAAACGCATGGTCCCCCAACACCACATCCAAATCCGTATGCCCGACCCTGGGCGTCTCCACCGGATTATGGCCCGTCAGCTCAAAGTCAAACCACCGCGCCAGCACCACCAGCGCAATCTTCATCTCGCTCATGGCCAGCGCCTGGCCCATGCAGGACCGCAGGCCGCGCTCGAAGGGCCGGTACGCAGAGCGCGGGAAGGGGGGGTCCTCGGTGGGGGAAGTGGTGGTGGTAATGGTGGTGGGGAGGAAGCGTTCGGGGCGGAATTCTTTGGGGGAGGGGAAGATGCTGGGGTCGTAGTGCATGGCGTGGGCGAGGACCGCGAAGCTTTGGCCTGGGCGGAGGGGGTAGCTTTTGCCTTTGACGGTGAAGGAGGTCCTGGGGGTGGGGGGTTAGTGGGTTGGGTTACTTTGGCTGGTTGGGTTTGGGGGCGGCTTACATTCCGGGAGGCGGGTCGCGGACGACCATGCCGATGGGGAACATGCGCAGCGTTTCTTGGATCATGGCGTTCGTGTAGGGCAGGTCGTTGATGCGGCTGGGGTCGTCTCTCAGAACACGCAGTGTCTCGTCCAAGGTTTTGCCGAAGACCCGGTCGTGCTCCTCGCGGACCTTTTGCACGACCTCGGGAAATGCCGAGAGAATCATGATCAGGTACTGAGATAGAGATGTCAGAGTGGGGTTAATGAGAAGTTGAAAAGGATCAGGATTATACGCACGCTAGACGTGTCGGTCGTCGTGCTATAGCCGGCAACGAGGAAACCTTTGGCACTGTCACGGTGTTAGTTGCTGAGCGAGTACAATGCTTGTGAGGTGGCTTCAGCGGATCTTACTTGTCTAAGACGAGCTTCATCAGACGGTCGTCTAGGGGCAGGCCGGCTTTCACCTGGTCCAGAAACATCCTGTCGAGGAGGCAGGTGGCGTTTGCTCTGGTGGGGAGAGGCTTTTGTGATGAGACTTTCTCAAACCGAGAGAATATTACCTTCTTAATTTCCGTGTTTAGTCGCTTCACAAGAGCAGCCCGCTCCCGCTTCTCCTGCCATCCTCTGATTGGGTTGAGAGGAGGTCCAGTCGAGCCGCTGATGTCGTTGAGTCGTTTTGCAACTTCATACAGGCCCGAGTTTGGATCGGGCTTTTCGCCGAAGAAGATCTTCCAGATGACGGAGAAGGGATACTGCCCAATCTGGTAGGCCATGTCGGTGACCTCCCCGGAGTCTGCCACACGACGGACCCGGTTGTGAAGCGACTCGGCTTCATCAATGATGAGGTCGTGGTACGTCCGGGTCGCCCCGGGGGTCAGTCCCGGAGCTAGCATTTGATGGAGCTCCTTCCATAACGGACCGTCGGTTGTCTCGATGAAGCCCGTGCCGATCGTGGGAGTGAAGAACTCTCGCACAAGATTGGCCTGGGGAAAGGCAGTCACGGTGGTCAAGGCGGCCGCGGCATCAGGACCGCTGCAGACGACGAATTCTGGGCCGAAGGGCCACATGTCCATGTAGAACACATCCGGAAGGTTGAAGTCCCGTTTGATCTCTGTCCAGGGCGCTTGGATGTAAGTGCCAGGCATCTTTTTGGTATATTCTCCAACGAGTTTCAAGTGCCCCCATATCGGGTCATGTGGCGCTTTAGGCTAGTCATGGAAAAAGGGGAATGGTTAGCGCAAAGTGGACGGATAACTACCGCTTTTGATATCTGGAAGGTCTTGAGGTAATTTTGGTAGGCATACTATATCATGGCTACGGTAAAACCGACGTTTAGCAGTCAAGCGGAGGGCGAAGTATACAACCACGGCACTGAAAGCAGTGATGGCGAGCCAACCGACGCTCGGGGCGCCGAGGAATAGAATCATGGTGAAGTTGGCACTCTGACAGTTGTTGTGCCTGACGAGGACGAGTGTGTCTGACAGACCAAGGAGATGAGATGAGACGGTCAAAAACAGCGAATCCCCGAGATTTTGAGCTGGCTCTTGAGGTGCAGCCTGCAGGGTTGGTTGGCTGCTGATTTGTTTACGCTCATCCTTCGGATTTAAGGTCTGGGCTGAGTGGCTCACTAAAAATATACATTGGGTCTCCCAAGACTGGAATGCGAACAAACCATCTCGGCAATGAACGAACCATTCCTAGTTGGTTAGGAAGTCTGACAGGTCCCACACGTCTCACGTGCAATTACCGAGAAGTTCTGCCAAGGTTTGTCTGGCAGGGGGGTGGGAGGGAACCGACATCGTGGGCCATCTCGAAGGCATCTCTTGGTACGAAGGACTTGGATATCAACCAATCATCCGAAGTCGATTTGCAGTTATGAGGTTGACTTCCCCCATCCACTATTACTGTGAGGCTATATTGGCCTATCCGGCTCCAGGTCTTTCGCCTTATCCAGAATTCTTACCCAGAGTAGAGGGGGGGACGGTTGCTAGGCTCAGCCTCCATGGACCTATGCATTCGATGTTTGTAGTACTCTCCCTGAATTCTAACCGTTGTATTCGTATATCTAACTCGCCTCAACCCTTCGTCTCATCCCAACTTCACCCATCCGGACTTGTAGAGGTAGACCTGCTCGTGTGTCGTGACTCGTGGAGTCGTGACTGGACCCGAGTCAGAACTCGGCACCCCATTCTCGCACCATGGGCCCATGACACTGACTTAAGGTGCTTTGTGTTGATGATACGAAGCCACGTATTATGACGGTACTAGAATCTTGCTAAAGTTTACGGGCCTTTGAACATTCATCCTACAAGGCAGAAAAACGTGTCTCCCTTTGCTTCTCAGCGAGCCAGCGGCGAGGAGGACTTATGTAACCAGGTTACCCTGGTTCTAGGGCCGGCTCATGCCACTTCAAAAATGTGCCAGTCACCTCCACACACATCGCCGTGCGGATTAGCTGCTGCGTGCGTGCCATCTCGAGGGTCTGATCACCTCAAGGCTCAAGGCAACGATTATCTATCGTACACATAGGCAATAAGGGAGGCTCTGACTCACAGAAGAGCCGTGTATTGGGGGACGGTCTTAATCAAGGCGTCTTCCTCCACCTGAATTCTCCCAGCAAGCTTTTCCCTAAATTTCCTGCACTCAACCAGTCAACCTGAAACTCACTCCAAGTTCAAACCCGCAACATCCATACATCATCACTGCATCAAACAGTCAACATGACGCAAGATATCAAGACATTTAAGACCAGATTCCTCATTCTATCCGACACTCATGCCCAACCGTTGGTGCCGCCAAGCGTGCCTGTGGACGTGGCGATTCACTGCGGCGATTTGACCGAACAGTCCAAGATGGCCGAATTCCGCACCACCATGGCTCTTCTCCAGGGTATCGACGCGCCCCTTGTACTCGTCATCGCCGGCAATCACGACTTCACCCTCGACACAGAGGTCTACAAGAAAAAGGCTGCAGAGGCCAACCGGCTCTACTCAATTGACCCCAGGGACATGGCCGCAGTGTATGGCCACTTCCACCATGCCCGCGTGCTCCTCGACACATACAGCGGCATCATCTTCCTTGACGAAGGCACCCACCAGTTTGACCTGCGCAACTGCGCCCGGCTGACAGTCTACGTCAGCCCCTTCACCCCATCCGCAGACCCAGACGGGGGCTTCCAGTACCGGCTCGGCGAGCAGCACGACTTTGCCATCGACCGCTCCGCCGACGTCGTCATCACGCACAGCCCGCCCGAAGGGGTGCTGGACCAGACCTTGTCCAAGCAACGCGCCGGGTGCGACTAGCTCTTTGCCGCCGTTGCGCGCGCCCGGCCCCGGCTGCACTGCTTCGGCCACATTCACGAGGGCTGGGGCGCCAAGTTGGTGACCTGGCGCGGCGAGACGCCCAGCGAGAACCCCTCCCACTTCACAGACATCGACTATGGCGCGTCTGTGGTTATGGAGACGCTCGCGACGCTGCGGCCAGGCAAGTGGGATGATGCGGAGGCGGTGAAGGAGAAGGAGACGTTGGCTGGGATGCTGGCGGCGCAGGGGTACCAGCAGACGAGCCATTGCGCGGGGGATGACCGCGCCATCACCCCTGGAAAGGAAACCCTGTTTATGAATGCGGCTATCCAGCCGGGGCCTGAAGATGATGGGCCTCGGCAGCTGCCGTGGGTTGTCGACATCGAGCTCCCGGGAATACCAGCAACGCCGGCTGCGTAAGAACGGGGACTGGGTCGCAGGGGGGGGCATTGGATCACGGAGGGGGGGGCATGGGATCGCGGAGGGGGGCATTGAGTCACGGAGGGGGGCATTGGGTCACGGAGGCGGCAGCATTGATTCTCAGAGGACGAGAGGGGCACTTGGTTAGCGTTATTAGAGCTTGAAGGAGAGAGCTGGATCGGGAAGGAGCTTAGGGCATGCATAACTAAAAGGATAAAAGGCACTTATAGAACCACGTAATAAATAATATAATATTTTTATACTTGGTGACGGGCAATACAGCTACGCCTGGTGGACTTCGGCGATCTTGACAAACTTGCATCTGGGATTAGATTCCACTTCCACCTATCATCTTTTACGCCCATCCATCACTTACCGTAGCTGCTCTGTCACATGGAAGGGCATCCCAGGCTGTCAAGGCGAGTTGCGGGGTTAATTGCAACAACTGCACCTCGCCGAGTGGTAGTATACCTATGCTGCTCCATTTCCAAGGTCTGGGGCGGATTGTGAACAGCAACTCAACAGCGGAAGCGAGTTCAATGTTGCCTAAAGCACCGTGTATCGAAAAAACTACCTACCTCTACCTTTTTGAAAGAGGAACAGGTGTAAGCCCAATCCATCATTTTTGCATTTCACCGTTGCTTCCAGTCCTTGGAGTCTTGTAAACCACAGCACATTGGGCGTCACACCTTGTCCCCCAGTGCCATTAGCCCTCCTTGCAAGGGCTCAGTTAGGAGGAACGCGACGTCCCAAATCCCAAAGCTTGTAGATATTTCTCAGGAACAATTCGCTCCCATATTGTCCATTGCATTCTGGTTGGAACAAGCCGTGGCGCAAAGGTGTCTTCGTAAAGTTTCATGATTTGCAACAGCTTTTCATCGTCGAAGCGGCGTGCCACAAACCCTAATAGGCCATACGGCTCGCCGTCGCGGTATGCCCCTAATGGCACCGTTGCCGTGGGTGCTTCTGCGCCTCAGTCAGTAGTCATTCGTCTGCGAGAGTCTTGTGCCAGGATGTCTCCTCCAAATTGAGGAAGCTTGAAGTGTTTGGGGTGACTAACGGGCCCAGGCTGCATAATACTCATCTCGGTCCATCCACGCGGGCAGGACAAGCACATCCAGGTCGTATTTGTCTAGCGCATCGATGATAGCTCCGTCAATGGCGATTCTTCTTGCGTCCGATAACACTGCATGATATTCTTCTTCAGAGAGATGCTGATGGAGTGCTGACTCAAGGTAACCTTGAGCGGCATTGTCTGATAGTCACGTCGTGAGCAAGTAGTGGCGATAGTAGACCGCGAAATTAAAAGACTTAACCTTGGTATATGATAGCCCGGGGTGCTTTCGATTAAAGTCAACCAGCTCCTCGAGAGACCGGATGCCGGCGCCTTCTAAGCTGGCGACGTGCTTCGCAAAACCCTGTCCCAATTCATGTCCTGTGGTTGGTTCGATAACTTCGATTAGTTCACGAAGACAAACGAAGGGGGAAATAGGATGGCCAAATACGGATTATTTTCTCCATCAGCTTTGGCACGTGGCCCACAGAAAGAGGCGCGCTTCGAATCTTCACGTCTGGGATGATGGTGGCCCCTCTCTTGCCCATTTCGGCGACGGCTTCAAGACCTCGCGAGAACATCTACAAAGGTTATTAGCGGGTGTTATAGATGAAGGCGACGATAGTTGTACCTTATTCTCGTCATCGATGTCCGCCTGATCACCGACGAATCCTGGAAGAATGGACCAAAACCAATCCCTATCGGCCACTCCAATCTTGAAGTCCTTCTAGTTAGCATCAAGGGAAGTAGTAAAGTCCTTGATGAATGATATTGAATCCGCCGTGACTGGGTCACCCGGATCATTGCCAGCGGTCTGAGTCAGAAGAGCAGCGATGTCCCATGGTGACTTTGCTAGAATTCCCGGCGAGTCGAAAGTCGTCGATGAGGAAAGTATTCCGCTCCGTGACAGCAGACCCGTGGAGACTTTAAGCCCAGACAAGATCGTAAAGGACGCAGGACAGCTAATCGACCCTTGGGTTTCTGTCCCAAAAGCAAACGGAGCAAGCCCGGCTGCTACCGCGGCGGCCGATCCAGCTGACGATCCGCAAGGGTGCTGTAGATCGTAGGGTGACAGTGTTCCGCCACCGAGCCGAGACCAGGCTGGACTGAGATTATTGTCCCTAGAGTTGGGCATTGTTGGTTAGCAAGGATACCAATCATGGTGCAGATGCCTGGACCGACGTACTTGCAGCCGTTAAGTCCCTGTCGTTCGGTTGAGAACATTAGTGTCAAGAGAGTAAAGTTTCCACGAACACATACCCCGAGATTGGCTTTTCCGATCACAAGGGTATTCGAACTGGACTGTGGGCATGCCTTTATAATGAGTGGGACATTATGTAGAGGGCTTCGTAGTATCCCTCCTTGTCGCTCGAGGTCCCTTTCTCTTGCTATGGCGAGGGTAGTGCCCACCGGCGCGAGCTCTAGCATCGTGTGTAGCCCGAGGCCGGACCTGTCGTCGAGTTCAATCCTTCTGAGGTATTCTAGAGTCAGCTGAAGCGATGTAAAAGTCTGATTGCTGAGAAGCTGCGCAACATCTTGAGCGGTAAGAGTCAAGAGATCGAAAGCAGCGGGGATGGATTTTGGGGCATGGGAATCACCGCTCAACCATGAGAAGATAGCCGCCAGCGCCAGCGGAAGGAGAAGAAAATAAAGCCAGAAGTCCATGATGATACTTTAATCGTGCTCCTTTTCGTTGTTTTTTGGGTGATCTTATTTTGCGAGATCTCTGACGTTGAGGAGCTTTGTTTCAGTTTTAGTTTGCGTCGTGGTTGAACGGCACTATGCAATGTGGGTTGTGTGTGCCCTTCCCAAAGTTTGCTGGAGGGGCCTGATGGCCCTGAACAGGAAACTAGCAGACTTTCAGGTTTTATATCGACCTGACGGTAATTATTATGTCAGACCAAGCCGAGGTTGCTAGCTGTCCTTTACTGCGTCCCTGAAACATATAGATATACGATATGATACGAAAGAAGGGACGGCATGAATTGGGAAACTCAGTGCATTTGCACGATCAAATGCACGAGTAGAGCTTCTCACCGCGGCCCCGGAAGGAACCCGTTGTTCCATGTATACAGGACATGTACCCCCATTGCCCCGTCAATCGCCTTGGGGTTACAAGTTAGATGTCATTGGAAGGGGGGTCGACTGTTGCTTTGTCATTCCTGAGATTACCTTTCTCGATAATTGCTTCCTGATACAAGAACTCCTTGCTACCCGCAAGCATCACCCACTTGAGATATTGGGGCACACGGGCAGCTGCGAGGTCGTTGTATTGAGATGCGTAACAGCGTGTGGATAAAACAGCCAAAGAAAATACCTAGATATTGAACGCATTCACAATATGCCTAGAAACCGAAAATGCTGCCAATAGCCGACGAAACAACACCCAACACGGGGGACGCGAACGGACCGAGGAGTATACCAGCAACCACAGATTCGGGCGAACCTTGGCTAAACGGCGGAGGAGGCGGAGGAGGAGCCAACGCAAGCTTGTGCTCCCTGTCGATGTTGGATTCCACGGCACCGTGTGCATCCGTCACGACGTTCATGAAATCGCTGGCGTCCCCAACGCCACCATTTCCTGTGTGAGAAAAGGAGACAGTTAGCGATCCCGTTCGGTCTAGATGCAACAACAACAGACCAAGTCCCACAAGAACATAGTGTCTTGAGTAAAGAACAGAACTGTAAAAGCCAGTCCTGGAAGAAAAGAAAAGAAAGGAAAAAAGAAAAGAAAAAAGAAAGCAGCCCACTTACCAACCGGATCCAACCGCCAACACAAATCATGCAAATTATACGTCCTCTCCACCACCCCCTCCCCCTCCCCATCAATCGGCCGAATCCTCAACGACTGCACCACCCCTTCCTGCGTCAACGCGGTACTCATAACCAGCCCAACCCCTTGCTCCTCCGGGTTCTCAAAGCGCGGGTACGGCACCTTGAGGCAGAGGGTGTCGTGGGCGGCCCAGCTCGGCGGGCCGCCGGTAGCTGCGCCGGCCGTAGACGTCGCCGAAGAAGTCGCGGAAGCCGCTGGCTTGGTCGGCGAAGGACCACGTCAGGCGGACGAGGTCGCCGTGGCGGTGGGGGTCGCGCTTGGAGGATGGGGAAGAGGTGGGGGTGGTGGTGGTGTCGACGGCTTGGATCCGCCAGTAGCTGGGCTCGTCGGTGGAAGTGATGGCCGGCTGGAAGACCCCTTGCGCGTTGCGGTAGACTGTGAGGCCTAGCTCGGGCGGGGAGGTGGATGGGGGGGATGAGCTGACGGGGGCGCAGGATTTGATGGACACTAGGCAGTCGGGGCCGAGCTGGGAGGGGGGACGGATCAGTCTTTCTTTTTCTTTTCTTTTTCCTTCCCTTTTTGCGGCTTGGGAGAGGGTGAGGGGCGTACAGCGTAGCCTTGGGCTACCTCCAGCCTCCAGACGGTCTGCAGCAGCCTTGGGTCTTGCGAAGTTCCTGATATCATGGATCGTTAGAAAATGAACTGGTGGTCCAGAAAAAGAAAAAGAAAAACCGAGTCGAAGGCTTACCTATTTCTTTCCCGCCTGGAAACACGAGGACAGGTGCTTGGGTGCTATCCAGCGTAAAAAGTTCCGTGTGAGCATGCCTTTCCCTTCTACATGTAATAATAATGGGCAAACGAGGGAGTACTCACCAGTGGGGGAAGAATAGGGCTTCGTTCTCAATGGTCTTGACCTGGCGGGTAGTGACGGTGATATCGCCAGTCACGCCCCATGGTCCACCAAAGTTGACGTTTCTGCCGATCTCGTGCGGGGCCGAGGTTCGCTCGAGGGATGTGCGAATTGGCTTGGGAGGCTTATCGGGAATATGACCGAGGTACCCCTGCGTCTGGTTCTTGGAAGGGTATGATCAGACCATCTGAGCACAATCCAACGTCGCCTATGTTATGCGGGAAAATAAATACCTTCACACCGGTGATACGCTCCAAGGCAGGACTCTCGGAATGGCTGATGGCCTTGAACCGGATGTGTATCACGCGGGACTCGGGGATGACAACGTATTGACTCAGCTTGGGCACCGCGCTGAAGAACCACGCCTGGACCTGGCCATATCCCGGTATTTGAGAGATGGTCTCCGAGATGGGGTGGAGATCCGACTGTTCGATTACCCGCCAGTTGTTGAAGTCGGCCACGGAACTTGACCACGCTGGTGGGCTGCCATGGGTCATGCGTTAGATGATACATAACTAGCAACACTCTCAGGCTAGGAGACTGCAACGTACTTTGCTGCCAAGATCGAATTTCCACCTGTTGCCTCAAAGGTCATGGCTTCAGATGTGTTGGAAGTTCGTTGGAATGAGTCGGAGGAATCTTGCGTTTCATGAGACGCCTTTACGCTGCCGCCGACTCCAAAGGGCTGAAGTAAGAGTAAAGTCAGTTTACTGTATGGTTATCCATGTAGCCACTTGCCGTGGAGACTGACCGTGGAGACGGCGACGCCAACAGAAGCCTTAAAAGATTCCTTCTCCTTGGATTGTTGGGTTTGTTCGTTACCCGTAACAATCTTGGTTGTCTGCAGACAACCGCCGAGAGTGGCAGTATAGCAGAAGAGATGGCCGAAGGTTTGGTAGAGATTCCTGAGCATGTTGATCTTAAAACACGGTTATTAAATGTGTTTCCGGACGCACAGTTTTCGAGACTCACATTCTTGGTTTTCCTGACAGCCTCAAGGGCATCACGCAGCTCCTGCGTGGGCTCCAGGTCCTCTGGTCTCAGGAACACGGACACACGGGGAAACTGGCAGTCCGATCAGCCATAAGCTCTAAACACATGTTCAAAGCTCCCAATGCCCACGACTCACCATGTAGCTTGCAATCATCCGTTTCGAATACGTCTTATTGCTACTGGACTGGCCAGATGACGACTCGCTTGCGACTCCACCTGTGACACCGACAGAGAAACCGGCATAGCCACCGGATCTTGATGCAAAAGTTTGTTAGCCGCAAATATTCTAGAATGTGGTCAATAGTATGTTGAGTTCTTACACAGACGCTTCCACCGAGGTGCTGCTGAAGTGGTTCTTGGCCATAGACTCTTGGAACTCGCTCATCACGGTGGTGACCTCAATTCGCGACCTGTCGTTAACAACGTAGGACGGAACCGCGCCAAGTTTGGCCGGAATAGGCGCGTTGACGTCTTCGGCGGTGAGTGGCTTGGCAATCTTGGGTTGGGCTTCCAGAGTCTTATCGTGAACGGCTTCCTCAAACTCGTCGGAGGCTTCCGTGTCGGCGTAGGTATCCCCGGAGGCAGAGCCCTCGGAAGCGTCGTCTACCTCGATTGCTGCTTTGGGGGGGCTTGTGGGTTCCGGGGTTTCCTCAATTCTGGGAGCCACTGGAGGCTGGATAGGGGCCTTGTTTCGAAGACGGAAAGCTGGTGTGCTGGCTCGAACCATGCGGTTGGTCTTCTTATCAATCCTCCAGCCGTAGAGAAGGGCACAGTTGCGCAGGACAGCATCCCAGTCAGCTTCGTCCATCTGGCTGGTGTACTTAAGTGGCGTCGCCTCACGGGCAGCAAATTGCGAAGCATCCAACTCCTCGGTCACCTTGAACCCAGTCGTATCGGCATGCATCTCCTCGGCCGAGTGATCCTGTGTACGCTGTTGAGCATGGCATATTATCGAAAGGAACTGGGCGATTAGTTAGGTAGTGGAGAGGGCTCACCTTGAAGCTCAGATCGGGCTTCATCTGCTCCATTGCTGCCAGCACCTCGGCTGATGCTCCATGAAACTTGGATCCGCCTCCCGCTGCAACCTTTGCGTCGGTCTTGCGATAACGAACGACTACAGATGGTGTGCCATCCGACTCCCCGACGGGCTCATTCTACAGAGTCTCTGTCAGATCCCGTGATTCATGCATGCACCGTCCTTGAGTTCTGAGACCAGACACTGAACTTACATCGAGGTCAAGGTACTCGCGGAGGGAAAGCTCATCCGTCGCAAGAGACCCGTCCAAGGAGCAGAAGCAGTGCATCTGGGGGTTGGGCGACCTGTTTCACTCAAAGCCAAGGTCAGACCAAAAGGAAAAACCGCTGATAGCAGCAGGAATAGCAGAACTTCCGTACATCTTGCCGATCAATCTCCGCAGCTGGCCCATTGGCATGTGCGACGGATCCTGGCCTTTGAACGCAGAGGAGTGCAAGGCTCCCATATTGAGTGCATTGCTGGGGGTGTCTCCCATTTGAATAAACTTGAGCTGGAAGGGAGGTTTGAGCAGCACAGAGAGCTGACTGGCAGCGGCTTCCTGGCTGGCAGCAACATAGACACGTAGCATTCCATCCTTCTGGGGGTTAGAATCTTAACGGCCGGGGACCGGAAAGCAGATAGGTCAACTCACATCTGACCTCCCGGATGTGTGCAGGAGTTTAGAATAAGCGTCGAGAGAGATGTTTTCGGGCACAGCTGCGCAGTCATCGGAGCAGAACTTGAAGGTTTGTGTTCTATTGGGGGATTTTCCGGTCAGCATCACAGCAATCCAAGTACAATACTTTCTCCACTCATCGTAATGGGAATAAGGCAGACTTTTTCAGGACCGTCTGGAGCTTTGTTCGAACATGCTGCAGTGTGGTCTCAGTGCGGAAGCTTTTTTCGTCCTTCCTGGTCCCTTATTGTCAGCACCTGCTCCAGCCAAGATAAGTACGGTGTGGATATATGCGCATACGAGGCAAACTGTAAGGTGCTGATGGGCATCTCCGAGATTTGGACATCATCCTCGTCGGTGCCGCCAGGACCAGCGACTAGGCTGAGGACCTTGACGAAGACGCTACCTCCCGCAGTGCCTCCTTGGCCAGATCGCTGTTCCGTAGCCATGTTGGTCGCGGGCTTTACACTTTCCCGGTCTGACTGTTTGGCCACTGGCTTTTGGGCCGGTGGTGTTTGGGCTTCCACGCGGCGGAGAGCAGGCATGATGGGATGCGGGCAACAAGAGTCGGGAGGGCAAAAATAAGAAGTGACTTGGATTGAAGACAGCGGATAGAAGCCAGAAAACTTCAGAGAACCGGGGGATCACAGTTTAGTCACCTTGGTAGCACACTCTGCCAACCAAGCGTCGAGTCGGGGGCTCGAGGCTCATCACATTGCTTTGACAAAATAAAAACCTTTTTCGGCACCTCGGTGTTAATCTCAGCTTTCTGGACTGCCGTAAACGGTAAACCGTCCAGGCGTCTCAGCCTGCATGTATCTGCAGGTACGATACAGCGCGTTGCATTGCATGGCGTCAACTCAATCTGGCCTCGTGCGCGGGCTTCTAATTATTGATCCCACGCTGTAGGTCCAAACTATTGGGGCCAGCCCACCGTGTTCTCTCATACTGTGTGGCGGGGGAGAGTCTAGAACGAAATGAACGTGCTAGCGTCGAGCTGAATGGCAAAATAGGTATGGGGCCACCGCCATCTCGCCTTGCCGACACTATTGATGTAGACGGCGGCGCGGCCCGGGGATAGCATTGGTTCAGCTCTCCCCTTTTATTCGCGTGCGCTTCGTAGTGATGGCGAAGAACTGAACGGTCTGGACAAGTGGGATGATGGATCCGCCCAATGGAAAAAGGGCAACATTGATATCGCCAAAGTGCCAGACTTTCACTTCTTCGCCCACCCACCTATTCGTCTGCGATTACCTCGCCTTCAACTTCGACTCCTTGAGAGCAAACTGGTTGTTATCTGGTAGAGACTCTTACTGCCCTAATCCCGAGTCAAGATGGTCGCCCTTCTCATTGCCCCTTACAATGACGCCATGACATTGGGTCAGGGGTACAATTCGTTCCTCCAGGTCCCATGCATCGATGGAGCGGTTGAGATCCCCGAAAACTCGCTGAAGACGCAGGCTGTGCGTGCGGGCGGCGCGGGCAATGTCTCGCAGGTTGTGTCCTACTCGTCGAGGTTCGTCGAGAAAATCTCGGATGTCGTCCGCAGCATGAATATCTCTGCCGCCTCGAGCATCAAATCCGGAACCATCGAGGCTTCCGGAAACTCGCTGAGCGTTGATGAGGCCAAGTTTGCGGCAAGCGACTTGAACGCCGTTGTTTCTGTCAAGGTCATCAACCGTATGTCTGGCCTGTGCCATCCTCACATCTCCTCCCACTAACGAGTACATCACGCTCGCAGAAACGACATCCATGATCAAGCAACCTAAGTTGTAAGTCCCGGATGAGCTGGAGAGTGGCTAGAGATTTTGTCGCTGACTGTAATATAGCAAGCCGATGAACAACGTCAAGATGACGAGCGAGAAGTTCTTCGACTACTACGGCGATTGCTATATCTCAGATATGTTTCCCTCTCCCTCTTCGGCCCCGGAGTCCGTTCTCCTCAACCAAACTAACAGTAGTGCACGCTTCATGGAAGGTGGCGACTTGCATGGAATTGTTTCTATCAAGGTTCTTGATGCCTCGAAGAAGACCCAGGTGGAAGCAGCGTATGTCCCTACTTCCCCTTTCTTTTAACCGATAATCGTTCTTTCCATGTCACAGCACCATTCTAGCAACCGATCTAATTCTCCAATCATAGTCTGAAGGGAGCAATGAATGGTTCCACCAATAACGAGTTCACTTTGAGTGAGGGCTCAAGCATGACCGACCTGAACGCTAGCCTGAGTGAAACCGAGACGACAGTCACCGTTAGCTGGTCTGGAGGCGGCCAGATTAAGCCAGGTGGGTGGTTATACTTCACTACCAAGCACCAATTATCCGCTGCCCTGCATTGGTTATGCTAACACTCTGCGTATTATGAACAGACAACGAGGAGTGGAATCTCGAGTCGCTGGTGAAAGCAGCGTCTGGCTTTCCGACCCGGGTTGCCTCCTGTCCGCAGCGGACGTGGGCTATCCTGACAAAGTACGACAACAACCGCAGCTTTCTCGAGTGGGCTGATCGGTACGACATTAGGGTACCTCAGTTTGAGAAAGCGACGCAGATTGCTTCCGACTTCCTCGATGATTTCATGGAGTACAAGAACAACCTTGTTCGGCTCCAGGCCGTCATGGCCAGCCCCAGGTCTTTCATGAAGAGCCCGTACAAGAACCCGGTTGGTCTGGGGGTTGAGGCACTCGTTGCAGAACGGAAGTCACTCAAGGCGGCGATGGCGCGCATTACCAGGGTTATTGACCAACTGTACGTGTCTCCGACTGAATGGAACAGCCCAGCCGGGATTGCGAGAACAAGAGGCAGAACAAGCTGACCATCGTCTCACAACCACCGCAGGAACAACGACCCCACATACACGCCGACGGTCGACATCGAATCTCCCGAAGTCTGGGCCGCCCGGCTCCCGATACGCAAGGACTCAGAGTTCGGGTCGAGCCTGTCGTCCTCGAACGACAACAACGCCGCCGCTCTCCTCGCCGGCTTCTCCTTCGTCAACGACGTGATCGCCCCCGTCAAGCCCAGCCCTGTGGAGACGGTGGCACCGCCGGCGCCGACCACAGACGCCCTCAATTCCGCCATGGATCAGCTCGACCACGTAGTCACCGACAAGGCCGAGGATGTCGCGACGAAAGCCCCCCCGCCGCCACCTGCTGCACCCTCCGCGGCGCCCATCTGCGCGGACGGCATCGTCCCGCACCTCTCAGCCGCAGAACAGGCATTCGTAAACCTGGAAGCCAACAAGCAGCGGTACGCATCCTTCCGGTTCGACCGGGCGACGGGCCACGACGGCGGCGGGGCGTTCAACGACGCGGTCACGCTGATGGAGCGGTCGGGCGAGGCGCTCTGGCCCAAGACCATCGAGATCCAGATGGTGCAGTGGAGCACGCAGCGCATCGTGCGGCGCGTCGAGGTCGACTACTACCAGCTGCAGACGGAGCACGGGTCGGTTGGGACCGTTGCGGATAGTTTGACTATTTACCTGGCGCCGGAGGAGCGGATTAACCGGATGCGGTTGGGCAGGGGGGATGAGATTTGGGATGTGGAGGGCGTGGCGTACGTCGAGGTCTGGACGACGGCGGGGCAGAACCTGAGGATTGGAGACCCGACGGGCAGGGAGGTCATTGATTACTACCCGTATGACGGCTGTGTCGGGCTCAAGGCGTTTTGGGGCTGCCAGGGAGATGTCATTGATAAGTTGGCGCCGATCTGGGGCAAGTAATTAACCGTTTGAGAGGCGAGGAGGGATATTACTTCACAAGGTATGGTCGGTTCGCTGGTTGTTTGTACAGGCCGACTCTAATAAGTCAATATGGAGCTTATATCATTGCTTGAAACCTCGAGCACTTCATCCGGGTTTCCCAATGTGAGATTAGTTCTGGCGTTGTCTCGGGCACTTCTAGCTTCGAGGCCATAGTGAAAAGAAAGAGAACAAAAGAAAACAAAAGAAATTAGACGTGATAGGAGGTGTTGGTTGGAGCGGCGATCCACGTTTCTCTCTAGGAATCGACCTTTTGGAGAATTGCACTACCAAACTCAGAGAGAGCTCAAACGCCTAAGCAAACTAAGGCAAGGTACAGAGAGGCACCTGAGCACGCCTACCTACCCGTGCTTCCCAGACGGGTATGAACTGGATCGTGCAAGAAAATTCCCGCAGAATGACCCCGAAAAGCGACTGGGGAATAGGCCGTCGCGCGATTATGCCCGTGTGGCTTCCGGTTGGTTTATCGCCGGTGGCGAATGGGCACGCCGGTATGCAAGGGGCGCTGAGTCTCGCGCCGGATCCGAGTTGGGCATTCTGGGCTTCAATATTACGAGTTTTTGGTAGGATTGGACCGATAGTACCGAGTGATTTACAGCTGAAAGAAAAGAGCTAGTTACTTGTTTTGGTGCCCGCTCGAATGGAGAACAGGGACCCCGGCCTCAATAGCCTTGCAAATAGTTCAGGGGGCCAATTAAACGTCTCTGTCCGTACTAGAGGCCCAGACCACTCACTAGCTGGCAAAGCTGAAACCGCTCTCCGGAGCGTTTCCCCCGCGTTGGGAACCAGTGCACACAGTGCGCGCAGTTTTGGCCATCCACTCCTACTCCTATGGTCGGCCAGAACGCAATAGCCAGGTAATGATTTAGGATACACGCGCGTAGCGCGATGAGGGTGGCCCAAAGATGTTTGTCGGTTGCAAGAGGGGGCAGGGGGAGGACCTCATCCTGTTCGGTACCACGTAGCGACCCCGTCTACGGGGCAGAAGAAATGAATTGTCTTGTCTGTTGACTGCATGAAATAGGCAACGAGAGAAGTAGAGTCTCGGGATAACTGCCTTCCCAACAAGAACGAAGACAATCCGTTCTGAGCACGCATGCCCAGACTACGAAGTTGCCCATACCTCCATCCCCTCCATCCACCCCCATTCACCTCCACCTTCACTCACCTCCAAGTTTTGCGGCTCTTGCCTCAACGTAACCGAGAGAGCACACCTGCCCACCAGCCCTGTTCGCTGTCATGTCGAAGCGGTCGAAGCAGCCGAAGCAGAGCCAAGTTGCTCACCCAAGTGGTGGCTCTGCAGTCTCCAGCAGCCCGAGCAGAACAATGAACACCAGCGCAAATTGGACAGTCGACAATTGGCAAATCCCCGTTCCGGTGGGGGACTGTTCCGTCCACCTGCTCGTGGACGGCAACAAGGTCGTCATCCACGCCTTCATCATGGATGGAGGTAAATCCTCTGACGGACTGACCCCCGAGGAACAAATCCTGCGTGCACTTACTGCAATTGATAATGCTCGCAAGGACTGGACTTGGAAATTCGATGCATGGGTCGTGACACACTGGGACCACGACCATTATGCCGGCATCCAGGCGTTGTGGATTAACAACCCCGATGTCACCCGAAACAACGTCAAACTCCAGTTTAGGGACGCGTACTTCAAGGACAAGAATCCGTTGCTTTACTGCGGTGGCCCAAAGCCGGCCGGCATCGACATTCCCGACTTCCGTATCAAGGAACCAGATCAGCAAGAGCCGGGAAAATCGACGGTGACAAAGAACGTGCTCCTCGGTCTCGATATTTTCACCGGAAAACACATGTTCAATGCCAAAGGGGAGGTCCCCCAAACAGCACCTGCCCAGCCAGACCAGCCATGCTTCTGCATCGTCGGCGCGAATGGCGTGGTGGCGGGACAACCGGACACCGTCTACAAGAAAGAGGACCACATAAGCAAAAATGAGATGTCCATCTTGGCCGTTGTCTATTGGCCTGGCAAAGGGAACGGCAAGGTGTCGTACTTCACTGGTGGGGACGGGAATCCAAGAGCCGAAACCCAAGGTCTCGTGCCGTTTCTGACAAACAACCGGAACCGGTCGAGCCAGCTTCCACGGGGTTCTGCCAACATGGTCAAGCTGGACCATCACGGCTCTTCCAACGAGAATGTGAACTGTCCCGACCTAACCAAGACGCTGCTGGAGCTCCTGAAGCCTGTCAACATCCTCGTCACGCCAGGGAACCAATACGGCCATCCAAGTAGGTTCTCAGCCACTCTTTGGTGAATTTTCAATGCAAGTGGATACAAGAGAGCTGACAAGACATATACGGCGACAGCCTGGGATGTTCTGTACTATATCTTCGATTATTTCAAGAGACTGCGGAACGGTGCTGTCAATGGGCCAGGCAAGCTCTACACTACCCGGTCGCCATATTGGCTGAACACGCAATTCGGATCGGGCGTCAATGTCGGTCACTATCGCTTGCTGGGTCAGCTGTTTGAGATGCATCAAGCGCTTGGAGACGGAGGCGAAGACGAAGAAGCGTTGCATGCTGACAACACTCTCCTCCGGACGTTTGCCGAACAGCAGCGCGTGATGAAGCAGACTGTGAAGGAGTACCAAAAGGAAGCAAAGGGATTCAAGGCAGATCTGCCAATATACGTACCCAAGAAGCCAGTCAGAAAGCAGAAGTCTGTGGGAATCGGGGCCACGAAGAAGAAGAAGAAGGCCGACGAGAAACCGTACTGGTATGTGGCGAGCGAGGTTGCGGCGTATTACGCCAAGGTGGTGAGTCCTAACCCCCACCCCCACCCCCTTTTTTTTTTTTTTTTTTTGTTTTCTTACGAATTGAGAGCATGGTGCACACGCCGATAAAATTCATCTCGCTGACCATCCCCGATATTCAGCAAGCCGAACTTGCTGCCGCGTATGAAACGTGCGAGAACAAGGAAGAGCCAGAGTCAGGCAAGTTCCTGAACGCTCTGCTCGCCATGAGGAACTTTCCAAGACCTGATACGCGAGATCTTGCGCGACTTGTGGGCCCAAGATGAGCGACCAAGAAATCATCGTTGCCGGGCAACCCCCTACTGGCTGATACGTTTCACCTTCGATAATGGAGGCGACAACACGGTCGTGCTTGCGTATGACGACGACGGTGCCGACAACAAACCCCTGGATTACCTCACGCCCGCGGAGTACGCCGACCCTGCGAAACTGGCTAACATTCAAGACGTAAACACCAAGAGGTTTGTGAGGCAGAATATCAACAGAGCGTGCCTTGGTCTGTCACCTCTCAACTTCAAGGACAACCTCGCTGTTTTCGGGGGCGACGAGCAGCTGGGCGCCATGGGAATCAATACCCAACGGACCTTCAACCTCGCAGCCCGCCCGCGAAAGCAAAGCGCAGACCTCCTAGGAGGGTTTACGGACCGCTTCGGTGGCCATGAGCAAACTACACCTCAGCCTCAGGAGACATCCCCCATCAGCTTCTTCTCCCCCCCAACCCCAACAGAATCCAAGGCCATCGCCGAGGAGACCGCGCCCGCCGCGCACCCCACCTCCTCCGACGACCTCTCCGACCTCGGCGCCCTTCGCGACCTCGGGTACCACACGATCCCCAACGACGGCGCCAGCCTGCTTTGCGGCATCTTCGCGCTGCACGACAGCATCACGCACCAGATCCCCACCACGGCCATCCCCTCCGGGCGGGCCCCCACCGACGAAGAACTGCACCACGCAGCGCTCTACGGCCCCGCCGCGCAGCTGCTCAACACCATCCTGCCCAACGAGCTGCACACGCGCAACTTCACCGCCGACCACCTGGCCTCCATCCTAGCCCAATGGGGCCGGAACGCGGGCATGACACAGCCGCTGCAGCTGGGGATCATTTTCCAGGACGGGTCGCGCTGGCGCATGCCCGTCGACGTGCCGGACGGGAGTGTCGCGCCGCGGAGGGTGTGGATCGAGCATGAGGGGGATTTGCATGGTGGCGGGGGGCACTATAGTGGGATCGCGCCGGGCGAGCCGGATGGAAATCGGTTGGGGAGGGTGGCGCCGAAGGTGGCGAAGGGGAGGATGGTGCTGAAGGCGGAGCTGAGGAAGCGCGCGCGGGATAATTTGTATTGGCGGGCGAGGATGGCGAGGGGGGAGGAGGACCTTAGTGATCCGGAGAGTATGGGCACCAAGACGAAGAGGTTGGAGGGGGAGAAGAAGAGGATGCAGGAGAGGGAGCAGGCGAGTGAGGCGGCTAAGCAAAGGTTCAAAGGCTGGACGGTTGAGAAGCTGAAAGCGGAGCTCAAAGCGAGACAGGTAAAGGGCTATAGTAAGCTTCTCAAAGGGGAGCTTCTCGATCTCTTGATCAAACATGAGATGAAGAAACAAGCGCTGGGCAATCCTGTAACGGCAGATGACTCGGAAGAGGAAGCCCGTTCGTCAGGAGCCGGTTCGGAAGAGGAAGAGCTCGCTTCGGGCGATCTCGAGTCGGACGATGAGGATGAAGATGATGACGAGGGCTGGTTTGCTGATAACCTTTATCGAGGCGGAATCGAGACAGCGGAGCTTCTCAGACGCTTGGATAGCTTTCAGTTCCTGAAGCAGCAGAAGAAGAAGGAGCAGAAGAAGAAGGAGCAGAAGAGGAAGGAACAACAAGGAACAACACCCGTGAGTAAAAAGTCAGATACGCTACTGCAGAAGCGGGCTGCCTCGGGGCAACTGAAGGATTTGAAGAGGTGGAGAGGAGGAGAGAAGAAGAAGCTGAAGGGTGAGAACGAGTTCGATCGGGGGCCGAAAGGACGATCGAAGAGTCCAGAAAAGATAGAGGAAGAAGACTTACCCTAGGTATCACGAAAGAGAATGTACCTAGGCATAATAGGTTCTTTTGGACTTTAGGTTTTCAGGAGATGTATCCAGCAAGTAGCTACTTATGTTCCACCCATGTTCCACCTTGCGCCCTATTACACCCAACAAAACCGTAAGATCTCCGAACTACCAGTACCGGTCATAAGTCCGCGGGATATTGTTGATCATGGCGGTGGCACAGTCGTCGGCATTCCGAGCCTCGTCTTCCCGGATCAAATCTAAACAAGTATCCCACCAGTCAGCATTAATTCGAAGCCGTTCCCTCCACAGCCAAAAAGACAGGCAAGTCACACTATCTCTCCCCCTCTCCGCAGCAAGACTCACCATTGATATGATCCAGCGCCACGAGATAGAACAGCTGCTCCAACCTGTAGCAGGGCAAGTCCGTCTCGCCGATGCTCATCGTGACGCACTCGCGCATGGCATACAGCGCGCGACAATCTCTTGCACGGCTGACCACGTTTGCCACGCGCAACTTCATTCTGCGCAAGAGAGCTCGCTCGTCGGTTGTGTTGTTGTGCAGGTCCATTCCTGTGGGGGTGGAGGAAAGGAAATCGTGAGCTGTGGGGTTGCTTTGCCTTTCGCCTGCAGCAGCTTGAGAAAGAGGGGGCTTACCGGTCTCGTAGTCGAGCTCGACAAGGCGGGCCCGGCGTGGCCGCGGAGCCGGGGGAGCCGGGGGAGAAGCCGTCGCTCGGGTTGTACATGGGGCTGGAGTCGGCGGTCTGGTGATCGTTACAGCGGTGGTGGTCGTCGGAACCACAGTCGGAGTTGCGGCAGGCCTAGCGGCAGCAGGATCTAGGCGCCGTGTTAGTGGTGGATGTAATCTGTAAGTAAGGTACCTTAGTTACCTATGGTTGGAACATGGAACTCATCATGCGAGTTGGTGTTGGTGGTTGACATTGTCAAGTAACGAGTCGGGTAGAGTCAGCAGTTTGGTTACTGCAATGCGTATTGAGTTATTATATAGTCGATAGATTGTTTAACTACTGGGTATAATTGGTCCCTATCATAGTGATGCATCGGTAAGGTAGGTAGACGAACAATACCCGGTGGGTAACAAGAGGAGTCGGGTTGCAAAAGCTGGGTGCAAAGGTTGTCGGGTGGCAAGTTACAGAACAGGAAGAAGAGCAAATGGCCAATCCTCAGAAAACTACCTGTCGAATTTACAGGTAAAGGCTTGTGGGAAAACGTGAACGGGCATGTGCTTTTGCAGCCTGGCTGAACACATGCACCTGGTGACGGAAGATCTGATGGAAGGGAAAGCGATAGCCCTCTGCCAACTACAGCGAGAACGGTGCAATTAAATAAAAACAAAAGTCAAACTACCTAGTTACCTTAGGTAAGGTACCTTAGTTAGAGTGGCGTTGATGGAGGCGCGGGGCACTGTTCTGTTAACTAGTTAGATGCATATTTAGCAATTAGTTAGTTAACTAGTTAACTAACTAACTACATGCATTTGGAGTTACGTAATCCGCGCGGACCCGCGCACCTAGTGGGAGCCTCGCGTGCAGCCTGCAGTGGAATTACTTCCACGGCAGCCATCGCGACACTTCCTTTGAATATATTAGCCTTTTCCACCCAATTTTGTTGTTCTCCCCTATTTCAGATACTTACGTATCAAAAGAGATAGTAATCGGGAAACAAGCGCCCTCTTACCTCGCTACCCAAGTACCTAGGTACCTTATGGTTGCCGTTTCTTGGAATTACCGAATGAGCTGAGAGAGTGGCCTTTGCTGGCCCTCTCTTTCGGATATGTCTGACACCAGAAATATAAAAGGTAATGTCGCCCAGGATCTTCGGAACTGCAAAATCCAATCTTTCCGCCCCTCACTTCTTTGATTTTGCTTTTCCCCAACATGCTTAAACACCATGTGCTGTAAGATCTCAACCAGCCGTTCTCTCGCTTCTACGGATCGTGACCATGGTTGTTGTAGATGCATCTGTTGGATTCGCCACATGGAATCTTCTGGTGGATACCAGCAACTGATCTCTCAGGGGGGCTTAATGCTAACACTTTGCCCATCGCCACTGTGGCATGCTGTGGCAAACCATAGCATGAAGTATATATAGCCCGATTTCTCTTCCTCGGATCAGGAGAAAAGAAACAATCAATCAATTCTTTCTCCCCATCTTTCGATCTGAGTGTCGTTTCCAACAGCATCAGTATATCACTATCATCCTGTTGGTATTACCCCTTTCCAAAGAAACCTGGGTGGAATATCTTTCATTTTTTTTTTTTTTTTTTTTTTTTTTTTTTTTTGTTTAAGAAAAAAGAACAACGCAAGAATTCTAAAGAGTTTTGTTTCAGGAACAACACAGTGGGTGTGGGCAAAAATGACTCGGATACCGGGAGTCGAACCCGGGGCTGTTGAGAGAGCAGTCACTCCTGGGGAGTGAGAGTCAACGATGTTACCGCTACACCATACCCGATTGAGACGAGTGTGGTTCCGACCAACTGTTGGATTGCTGCAGCGGGGTTGGAGGCTGTATTGCCACAGGAGTGACCGTGCCCGCTGCGCGCGGGCACGCCAAAGGAAGCCTGGAGGAACTTGCCGGCTGTAGGTAGGCCCCATAGCGGAGTCAACGATGTAATTGTCTTTTTTTTTTTTTGGTTTTCCATTTCATGATGGTTATTGACGAATGCTGGGAAAGTAAGGAAACGTGGTTTCTTCAGTCAGACTAGCGTCTAATCGTACAGTCGCGCCCTCTTTTTTCCCGCTGTAGACCTCTTGCTTCTGATTGGCTCGGGAGAGGGTTATCGCCCGTTTGGCGGGATCCCAATGGTCCTGTTCTTCGGGGACTTCTTCCAGTTCGACCCCGTCCTGCAGACCAGCCTCCTCTTGCCGGCGCTCAAGGACCGTGGCGGATAGAGACCGGAAAGCTTGGCGAAGCATCTCGCAGCGCACAGGCTGTTCCTCCAGTTCATAACCGTTGTCATCCTCCAGGAGCAGGTCCGCGCGGATGGTTGCCCAAGGCTTCGGGGCTTCCTCGGGCGCCTGCGCAACGGCGAGCAGACCGAGCTGGACTTCCAGCGGCTCAGTCAACGCCTTTATACACCGTAGTGCAAGGCGTCCTTCGTAGACGGTCTGAGCGCCATCACGCCCCTGAACCAAGACCGGTGGGACCTGAACATGGCAACCGTCGTCCAGTGGGCCCGTGCCTGCGGCAAACACATCTCCATCTTTGTAGCCAAGCATGACACTAAATCGGCGAAGCGGCTGCGCGTCGAAGAGCTGGGCGACGTGCTCCGCCGCGGAGACGACTCGCAGCTGCCAACCCCGGGCCTGTTCTTCTACGCGCGGGGGATGCCGGTCGTGGTGACTCGGAACCAGTTTATTAGGCTGAAGGTCGTCAACGGGACACCTTTCAAGGCCGTCGACATCTTCCCTGATCCCGCCGCCGGCACCATCGCCTTCGCCAGCGATGTGACTCTTCATCTTGGACCGCCGGTGGCCGTCCTCCCTCAGTCAGACGATAGCGCGGGCCTCGCCATCCCCGGGCTCCCCAATGGCACGATCCTGATCAAGAGCAAGACGGTCGCCATCCCGAGCCAAATGCGGGGCAAAGAAGGCAGATGGAGGGGCAAGCCGGGTTTCAGGTGGGTCACCCACAGAACGGGGCCTCTCTGCACACCGGCCTTCGCTATGACAGATCAGAAGAGCCAAGGCAAGCAGTTCTCCAACGTGCTCGTCAACCTCAAAGGCGTCCACTCGAGTGGCACGGCGACTCGACCCAGCTTCATGAGCTTGTACGTGCAGCTGTCGAGGGCGCAGAGTTGGGACGGGCTGCATCTGTTTCGGAAACCGGCGCGTGGCGACTTTATCGAGCCCAAGAATGTGCTTGACAAAGACATGAGGGAGGCTATCGTCAAGCTGGAACGACAGGGCGAGGAGACCAGACGGCGGTTCGAGCAAGACCACAGGCACGAGTCGTGGTTCCAAGAATGGGATGCAATGCTTGAATCTGGCCAGGGGCTGAAACCGATGACGTAGAGAACGCGGCGCTCTGGCGAGACCCTGGGGTTTCCGAGCTCAAATCGAAGCACAGCTCTCCACCGTTGCTCTGTTTTGGAGCTCTTTTCCAGCGGAATAAGCTGCTTCAATTAATATTTTCCTTCTCAACTTGTTGCCGTGTTGCCCCGCAATCTGCATCTTTTCGTGGTCGTCGCTGAAGCTGCCGAGGGCTGCTGCGCCATCTCATTGGCTCTTATAAACCGGGGGTAGCCCCACAGCTGATAGGCCGTCGAGGCCCCAACAGACCTTCCGTGCACCACCACTGCCAAGCCCAACTTCGAGACGCTCATCGTTAGAGGCAAGTTCCTCCAGGCAAAGCAACATGGCTGCTTCCACAATCGTTAGGATAATGACAGTAAAACTTAACAGTTTACAGGGAGAAATGGAACGGCTTTTTTTGATGGGGCGTTTGATGGGGCGGAAGTGGTCCGTACTTGGAGCATACCATGGTTTTTCTCGGAAAAGGAACCTTTCGGAAGTACTCGTTCCTCCAGGCATTGTCAAACCCAGCTCAGCTCAAGCACCAGCACCGCATTATCCACAGTTTCTAATGTCTTCCACAATACCAGCCTGCTATAATACTGACCCAATTAACCCCATCATTGCAGTAAACCACAAACCCATCTTTCGTCTTGCCAATGATGGTCGTGGGACCGATAGGAAATCCTCGAACTTGCCATCCAATCACAAAAGGTGGCAGGACCGCTGATATACAATGTATGACGCTGACTACCACACTTTCCGCCTGTCGTGGCTTCGCATTCCCAAAAAGGATGTCGAACCCGTGGTGCTGACGAAGCACACTGCGCTAGAACAAAACCTACCCACGATTGCGAACAATGATTCCATCGTGATCGACACAGGTGGCGATGGCGGAAGGGTCCGACATAATCCACGTGGGGATGGATGCGGCGAGGGCCAGATGGACTTAGTGAGATATAAAAACCATATGTTAGGCACCTCGACCCGTCTCAGCAAATTATATCCGCTAACGCCCTCCACAGCCACCAAACAAACACAACTCTAAGCCCCTTACTAGCGACACAACTTCACTACCAACCCCCTCCACAAACAAACGAAAAAAATGCCCCCCGACACGCCATCCCTCACCCT